GATGATATACTGCTAATGGCCGACAACAAGGACGATTTGCAGAGATTGGTGGACATCTGCGATAATGAGGGAGATAGGTTAGATTTCAAATTCAGTAAGAAAAAATCAGCAGTCATGATTTTTAATGACAATGAAGGTAGTGTGAACTTAAAATACAGGAGGTCACGTTAGAGATAACAGGTAAATACAAATATTTGGGCGTATGGATAAGCAATGGGGCCGAGTACCTAAGGGAACACGAAATATACGTGTAGACTAAAGGTAACAGGAATGCAGCGGTAATGAAAAACAGGGCACTGTGGAATTACAATAGGTATGATGTTGTGAGAAGAATATTGCCACGTTCCATTTCCCAAGCTTTTGTTATCGTCCCAAAACACCACACGATTCTCAGCGCAAACCGCGCCTGCAGTTTTCGAGAGGGTTCCGGACTGTAGTAGATCATTTCGATAAGATCACGCCCACTGTGCGAATGGTACAGATTGTTCTGGAACGTACGCCGCCGCCAGCGGTAGCGCTAAAACATTCGACGGCTGGAGTGTAAATGCCGACGCGCTTCGCCGCTTGTCAGTTGTTGATCGAAGGCCGACGCTGCGTTCGCCGCTATCAGTCCGAGACTGCTATCTGTGCAAGACTGCTGCTGTAATTAGACTTTCCCTTTACCGGGCACAGGTTCGCCCAAATAAACAGTTAAATCCCAACACGAAGTTTGCTGTCTTCGGCCACGTCACGACCCCGTGACATCTGGTGGAGGTGCTGCTTCGTTCATGTACCGGACGCCCCCGTCAAGCCGTGAACCCAGCCCCGCCGCGGTGGTCTAGTGGCTAAGGTACTCTGCTGCTGACCCGCAGGTCGCGGGTTCAAATCCCGGCTGCGGCGGCTGCATTTCCGATGGAGGCGGAAATGTCGAGGCCCGTGTGCTCAGATTTGGGTGCACGTTAAAGAACCCCAGGTGGTCAAAATTTCCGGAGCCCTCCACTACGGCGTCTCTCATAATCGTGTGGTGTTTTGGGACGATAACAAAAGCTTGGGAAATGGAACGTGGCAATATGGAAAGGGGTCATGGTTCCTGGCCTGACATTTCGGCAATGCGGTCTTGTGCATGAGATCAGAAGTTCAAGCAAGATTAGAAATTAAGCAACGTGGAATAGGTAGGCTTGCCTTAGGTGCTCACGGGAATACACCAAATCAGAGAGTACAAGATGATATGGGATGGACATCATTTGAGGGCAGGGAAGCTAGCAGCAAGCGAAAATTTGAGAAGCAATTGAGAGAAATGGGGGAAGAGCGTTGGGCTAGGAAGGTATTCAGCTACTTGTACATGAAGAATGTCGATACAAAATGGCGGAAGCGAACCAGAAAATTGATTGGCAAATACTTGGAAAGCAGCAGGGCGCCAAACCAAAAAGAATTATCGGTTAAGAAGAAGGTGAAGGAAGCTGAGACCGATATGTGGAGATTTGGCATGATTAAAAAGTCTGCACTAGAGATCTATCGAACTTTTAAGCAGGAAAAAACCAAGGAAAGGATCTATGATTATACTCGGGGTAGTTCTCTACTGTTTGAGGCCGGGACGGGAGTACTGCGAACAAAGACATATCGGGCCAAATACGAAGGGATAGACACAGTATGCAGTGCGTGTGGAGAGGAAGAAGAAACTGCCGAACAGTTGATAATATTCTGTAAAGGGCTTCACAATATAGTTCAGGATGATGGCGCAGAGTTTTTCAAAGCACTGGGGTTTAGAGACAGGGAGGTTAAAATAGACTTTAAGCGGGTAGAATTATCTAGAAGGAGGTTATCTGATCGGCGGCTAAAGTCAAGGCACGAGTGAAAAGTAAACAATTCACTGCAAAGTACCAGTCCTATACTTGCCTACTTAAAGGAGGAAAAAAAGATAAATCTAGTTGGTGGTTCGGTAATTGTTACGGCTAGGGGGCGTTAGCCGCCGCCCGATCTAAAGAGTACAGCCATATCGATCTATCCATACATCCATACTTGATGCGCTTGTTCGCCTTCGCTACACGCTCGAGGCACTCTTAAGCAGCGCCTCCAGAACACCATTCACAGATTTTCTGGCGCAGAACATCAAATAAACGTTTTGTTCACTTTCTCCAGACACAAGACTATCATCTTTCGACGACATTTGCAGTGTAACATGCAGATTCGAGCCAATTTTTTTCATCCAGCGGCCGTGCCCCTGGCAACCAGAGCATGTGATGAGAGGGTAGGAAAAGGCAGGTGCAGTGCTACTTTGCCGCTCCTTGTACCGTTCGCTCTCTATCCTCCCTGCGCCCCACTCTCGCGTCTGCTCGCGCCTCACTCTCGAGCGTTTGCTGGCTGGGCGCCTCTCAGAAACATCCTAAAATGTGTGCCCGTGCTCGAGACGGCATAGTGAAACGCTAATGCCGAGCCGGGAAAGCTAGCGCCCCACTCTCTCGTCTGCTCACTCCTCACTCTGAACCGTTCGCTGGCGAACAAAAGTCGATGAAGGCGAAAGTCTCACAACAATAGTACTCTCTCTCGGCACAAGAAATGCCTTCGCATTTCCTCATGATCGCCTTTGGAGGTGGGGGCATTTTATAGCCAAAGCTGTTATGAGATCAGAACTTAAGTCACGTGCGGCGCTGTAGTTGTCCTCCGCCGCCAGTTTCCATAACCACTATCACGAAATAAGGAAAAAAACCTAGTACCAAGTGCGCACTCGGGCTCGAACCAGGGTTCGCTGCGTGTCAGCGCAGTATTCTACCACTGAGCCACGCCGGTGCTTGGTACTCAATCGCAAATTTGCCTTGGGCAGGCTTAATGTCGGGAAAGGAATCGCGTTAATATGAGTACAAAAGTGTGTCAGAACAGGGAGAGAACAATGAAATGTCACACAATGCAAATAGCATAACTAGTGGGTCGTCCAATGCTCAAACCCATTACAAAAGCTTGTTTTTGATCACCTGTTAACTGCAGAGCATACTCACTTCAGGCATGATTACCCCTCATTCTCAGGCACTGCATGAACTATTGGTACGAAATTCCTTGCAAGTGCTTAGCGGATACAAGGGTTCTTAGAAAAATGATGAAAAATAGGATAGTGAATGCTGGCCTATTACCCAGAAATTACTGTTATTAATGCCGTAGTGGGTACGTACCCAGGAAAGTGTGCTTGCAGCAGTTACCCAATGAGTCTTTAGAAAAGGCTCTGCAAGGCCGCTCTTTTAGCTTTCGCTGCGACTATGAAGCGCCTTTCGCACAGGCCTGGCGTTTCTTTATTGTACATGCATCATGCATTTCTGAGCAGTGAGGACAATGCCCTCTAAAACAATTAAGAAATCCTAATGTTGCTTGATTCCATGCTGCAACATTGGGTACGGTAGGGGTCTGCTCACTTCAGTACTAAAATCGGTTAGCACACAGTCCAAATTCCGAATATTTTTTTGAATATTTAGCACTGATGGAAAAACACCAGAAGAGCAACACACATTAGAACAGTGAGACAGCACTTCTTATTAGATGCAAAGCAGCTCTTTGACTAGCCTGTGTAATGCTGTCCCTCCGTGCATCCACATGAACCTGCCACAACGCGCTTCTTTTGTTGCAGGTGTTGGAGCAGTGCCAAGTAGGTCACACCACAGCTGCGTGTTGACTTCACTCTCTCCCTCGACTGCTGCGCACTCGCCATAGGGCCCACAGCTGCTGCCTTGTCCGTTGGCCTGCAACACCTACTGCTACCACCGCTTGCTCTGCTACCACAATCGCTACACCACCGACTCTTCGGTTCACGCGCAACAAACCTGACATGTGCCTAACATACGTGCTGAAACAAGTCTGTGTGTCACCTCCCTCTTCACCTTCTCCACCACTCGCAACGCACATCAAGTGAACCTGTGACGCCACCCGTGCGCAATGCTGGTGCTTCACATCTTATCAGGATTTTCTTTGAAAAGATGGTGTGCCTAATGTTTTAATTGCTGGATTACCAAGATGCACGCATGCAGAGAAACTTTTTAAGGAACTATAGATTCTGTGCTGATTAGAAATGAATTAATAAAGGTGCTTCTATTTAAAACTTTGCCAAGTGATATCTTCAACCTGCTATGCATGAAATTCATGATGTTCATTCAGCAAACATATGATTATGATTAGAAATTTACTCCGGTTCAGCATATTGTTAATTTTTATGGCTCTAATTTATTTAAAAAGTGGCGACAATGTATGTTATTGAATTCTGAATTAACCGCTGTATTTGAGCGAACAGTTTTAAAAAATTTTTATCGGCTGTTACTGCTTATTCGAGTTTACCTCAGTTAACATAACAATAACATTTTCTACCGGCTGAAATTAATCGTAACATTACCTTTGTTAATGTTACTGACTATTATTTCCAAATTAAGTATTGTTGAAGTATACAACTATTCTGAAAATTGTTCTGCTATTTGAATAATATATTGAATTTGCATTTGACTCGTCATTTGCACTATTTCATTCGTATTGAATCCGGTTCTGAAATTCGCTATTCGCATCCACAGAAAAAGCATCTGTTTCAAGCACTGGTGTGCAAAGTCCTGTTGGAGACCTTTGCTCATGTGATACTGAGAGTTGATACTGAATAAGTGATGTGCACCTTGTCTGTTACATTGTGTGCTATATGTGACAACGGAGGATTTTCTTTGCATCAACAGTGAACTATGCACAGGAGCTTGCTTCAACATCGAAGGAAATGGCACCCCAATTCTACCAGCAGGGCCAGTGGGACCATGGTGGTCTCCTTCACCTCAAAGGCGCGGCGTTTTACTTAATTCAGGTGCTTGTGAACAAGCTGACCATAATTTTTGGACTGCTTGCGTCCATGCAGTCTGTTTTAGGCACGTCCCCAAAGATTCGGCAAATGTCACAGGTTGGTTGCTGTGAGCATGCTAACGTAATCAGTTACACACTTTCAATGTTTAACTTGCTGCATTGACTTAAAATAAAAAAGAGCAACAAAAAGAAAGCTACGCGTCTAAGCCTTGTGTTCTGTAGACTGTTTATTTCACAGATAAAAGAAACTAGCTTCGCTTAAGAACGTGTTTTTTCTGCGAATATATTTTCTTTCTGCCAACAAGCGTACACACGACCTTTTCACCAGCAGCCAGGAGAATAGTAACGGGTCCAAAATAGCAATATCGATAAGTATTGAATATGACTTCAATAAGTTGCAGGGATGCATAATTGCAATTAGAAAAATAGCAGGGCAGAAGCAGGAAAAAAAAACTGTGCTAAAATTAAGTAGCATGCCGGACATGCCTCGAACGATATTGCTAGTGTGCAGTGCTACTCGGTGTGCAGCCTGATAATGCATGGGAGTGCTATTTTTCAAACAAAAGGATGAAGTCAAACTCTTATTATTGCACACGCTGAGAAAAAGCGATTCCAAAAAATAGCACGGGTCATGTTCCTCCAGCACAAACAAGGCTACATGGTACGTCGTCTCTTCAATGCCACACACACCAATGTTACTAGAACACGCACACCTCGCTGCATCGGTGCACTTTGGGGAGTGGGTGCCTCAGCGCATTTCACACCTCCCAATTCTAGCCACCATACCTTCAGTCTTGCGAAGGTCCAAGTGACTACGAAGACCCGTGAAAATATGAAGTGCAGCGCCAACACGTGTCAAACGTCATCCACCGTCTTTTTTTTACTTTCGACAACTGCAAACAACATCGAGCAAAGAAACCCAGTGGCCTCTAAACTGTCTAGTTCTGAGCTAAAACTATACGGCATGAGATGCAGACACTGCTTCCGAAGTGTGGACCCCAGGAAAAGCATTGCAATACCCCTATTCACAGTTTTTGAGTGGACCGAACCAAAGGGTAAAAGGCCCTTCTTGCACGAGAGCAAAAACACCACTAAACACGATTGTCATTAAGGGTCAGTTTTAAATCTAGAAACTGCAAGACCCCATTATCAGGCAGCTCATCATAAAGCACAAGCCTAGTCTGCTCTCTCAAAGGGCCTCTAAAACATTATCCACCAAAACATGGTTTGCTAAATCAATCAAATTTGTTAGCAAAATCACGAAATTGTCTACATATCAAAAAAAATTTTAAAGCCATCTCAGCGTTAAAAGTTTGTACAGTGTAATGATAACCTTCGGAAAAACCTGTCGACCTGTCTGTGTTTTCTTAGTTTATGAGGTCGTGAGTTTGCTGTTAAATTGACTACTGAATTCAGACATACACCAACTAGCCCAACAGCAACTAAATAAAGACACTTTTTCTTAAGACTTCAATGAGGCAAACATACATATAAAAATATATTTTTAAATTTTTACTAATGACTTCAAGCCGGCATTAGATCCGACAAAAATAGAAGAAAATGCATTGAAGGGAAGAGGATAGATGGAGCAAGTCCCAAGCATTGTTAAAACAAATTTGCCATCTCTATGTACATAGACACAGGCAATAAGAAAGAATGCAACATATCCAGTTGCACCTCAAATTCAGGAAAGCAAAAAAGCACTCCACACAAAATGCCCACGAAATAGAGCTGCGATATACAAAAAATATGTATAATGACCTCCCCGCCCCTCTGATACAATTCTTGGTTAGCTTTGCCACAAAACGCATGACGAAGTCAAAGAAGAAGTTCTGAGGAAACCAAGACCACACCATATTTAGGCAAGAAATCCATTTAGCTAAAAAAATTCACTCAGCATTGAGCAGCAAGAACATAAAGAAACTTTAGACTGCAAGAGTGATTTTCTCGCAATGCTTAAGACAATGAAGATGGATAAAACAAATGTACTAAATGAATAATTGTTCTAACTTACTTAAAGGCACTTGTGAGAAATGGTACACTAGAGAGGGAAAACAACTTGAGCACCCAAGCTCTTCTGCAATGATGCACACAAGTTCGGCTTTGACAAAACTCCCTGCTCTCACCAAAACTGAGCTGCAACTGGCAAAAGTTGCAGATTTAGAACACAGCCTTTGCACTTCGAAAAACAAAAGAGAGAGAAGATCAGTCAGAAAGTTTCACTGTCCGCAAAGCGTCCTCGTCGAAAATCTCGAACACTGCCGTTGCACCGTCGTTAAAAACGAAGGATAAGCCACCGTCGATGACAAGACAGGCATCAAACATCCTCGACTTCACTTCAATCCTGCAAAAACACAGATCTCCCTTTTATTAAAATAGCCTCTATGAAAACATTGGATGGACACACAAAGACCAGCTTCAGATCACTCACCTCTTGGCAAAGCCACGGGGTTTGCTGTTGAAGTCTGTTCCTGCGAAGACAACCAAAATGGTGTTGAATGAATGTCTTCAACGTCTCTCAGCTTTTCACTTTCAACTCTTGTGAGTTTGGTCATTGCTTAATTAACTTTCAAGTTTCCACGACATACATTTTAACTGACAGAATACAACAATAACAAATGTCAAAAAAGTCGGCAGCCGGTCCTGGCCAAATTAAGACTGACCAGAAATGCACGTCTACTCTACTGTTTTAAAATTCCTGGAAAATTCAAACAAATTTTTTGGCAACTAAGATGCTTTCTTTCCGAGAAATCTATACGGATTTCCTTGTGGCTTCGTGCCACAAATGGGTGGGTTGTCTATTTTGCCTTTCTTAACCTTTCTGCCACCTCGTAGGTTTCCGCAGAACTCATTTGCATTGCTTGTGTTATGCTTGTGTCTATGTGCTTCAAGGTGTCAATGAATTTGCCATTGCAAATTTCTAGTTTCCTGGTTAGCTCAATCGGTAGAGTGACCACCCCGAATTCGTGCTGAGCATGTCGCTATTATATAGCCAACTACATATCACCTTTAGCTGAGACAATACTACGCAACTGCGTAAGAGACGTGGACCCTCATCCGAAACACGTTACATGGACACCGGGCCATCAGGGATTGCGGGGAAATGAGGCTGCAGATGCGCATGCCCGAGCGCTCATTTCCAGGCTACCTTCCTCAATGCCGATGGAGACTGACGAGAGGGTATAAGGAAATTCTTCATTATTATCAAGAAAGTCATTGCCGCTACCGTTCCCACGCAAGGTAGTTGAAGAAAGCAGAGGAGCGCATTTTGCTTCGACTTCAGACCAACACAATATTATGTCCTGCCGTAGTGAAACATTTCAACCCTACATCCGCAGGACTGATGGGAGGTGGCAGACACCAATTTGTGTGCCGTGATCTCAATCATCAAGGAACTCAAGGCACAGAGTACCCTGGTACACCAAGAGTATCTATCCCATACTGGGGGTTCGTGGGATTCTGCCATTGACTCATCAGTCAATGGCGGAATCCAACAGAGATCTTCGCATCAGATGTTCAAGTCTGTTGGACCCTCTTGACGAGAATCAATGCTAAACGACTGTCATGGATTTTATAGATACTGCACTGTTGCTGCCAAAAAGTTGAGACAGATGTCTGAGGGGAACCTGTGCAATACACCAAAGAATCGTTTTGGTACTACGCTCAAATCGTGAACAAAGTGTGAGGCATGAGCTTCCCTGCGCATTTTATGCTTATTTCTTCAATTAGTGCTTCTTGAAACGGACAATTTGAGCCAGCTTCCGAGTGATATTGTGAACCAGGGAGTTTCTAACAAACTCACCTAGAAGGAAATCTGGTGCTAGTGAGCTGCTGGATGCAAGGAAATGAGAAAATACGTGAGCTTCAAACTTGAATCGGATTTGTATAGCTCAAAGACGCATCTGGCTTCATGTTAAAATGATTCATTTGTTACTAAAACAGCACGTAATTAGCTATTCATTTTTTTTATTGCACAGAAGCGTGTTTTATTTGACACTAAAACCTTATGCAGCGATATACAATTTTACCAAGCGTAAGAAGTTTGAGAATAACGCACAACTCCAAATTTCAGAGAAAGCTGAATTTACGAGAATTAAACATCGATAAACAACCGCTGTTATACAAAAAAATAAACACGGAAAACATGAATCCATACCCATAGACTGCTTTATTTTCAAGAGAATCGAATCACTTGTGCAGACACTGATCTCTTGCTTTCTGTGCTTGATGAGGTACGGTCACAAGTCCTGTTTTATAGTCCGCATGACATTTCTTTAAATAAAGTGTTTCAAATCTCACATGCTTTTTGTGTGCTCGCATGATTGTGTGCTTGGAACAATATTGGTCACATCCTACCAACAAGTGCAGGCAGCCATGTTAGCGAAAAGATAAAGTGGTCTCAAACTCTGAATTGATGCATGGTGGCACAGAGCCCACCGTGATGAGTCTGCGCACCATTTCCGAATGGGTCTCCTGCCAGTCAAAAAATATCCAGGGGTCAACGTGGCTTGAGGTTGGTGCAAAGGGTCTAGTAAACTCCAAAGTATTTGCGATTCGAAAAAAAAAAAAAAAAAGTTTCGTGAATCTGTAGGCTAGAGCAACCATACTTTTTGCTGTATAGTACATAGCCTTTAATGCTGATTTCACATACGTAATTAGTAGGCTTGTGCAAATAGTGATTTTGATCGAATAATTTCGAATCGAATTCGAATGATATGTATGACATAGAAAAAAAGGAATATTAATCATGACTTAACTAGCCTGCACAATATTTTTTTTTAATTAAAGTAGGGGCTCTATGCAAATGCCTTTCTTTTTTTTTTTCGTTCAAAGGAAGTCAGAGCAACCTTGAGTAGTAGTTGTTTCAGTATAATGTGAGCGATAACCTGTAAGAGACTAACAGTTTAAAGTTTATTATACTTGGAGCATATAAGCCATCATAACAAGTTTAATAAAATGAAGAATTAATTTGAGGGTAGCAGCTTCCTTTAGAGGGGCTTTGCAACACTTTTTAAAGTAGCCATGGAGCCAGTAAACATGCTTGTTGTCTCACAAATTTACCACCGCAATGTTTTTAGAATTAGTTCAGTACGAGGGAATATTTCAAAAATTTGTCGCACCTGCAGTTGCATTCTCTCTTCTCATCCCGTCAGAATAGCTGTAAGTTAAGCAGGGAGGAATGGCATGGCAAAAGAAAATACGTCACGCGCACCTCGTGACCTTGAGCACCTATTTTTTCATTTTCGAATAAAAGGCTGTTCAGTGTGATCGCGTACGTACTCATGGACAAGCGGTAGCCTCAATAACGACGAGCACGCCATGCTCAAATCAGCCAATGGCTGTGGCCAGAGCCGCATATTCCTTCTTGGCTGTGACAAGTGATTTTCGAGCTTGTAGTGTCATTTGCCGAGGGAAGAGAGCAATTTTTAGCTTTAGAAATTTATTGTGAATTACAGACCATGTGCTGCACTATAATATTAGCCTCGCGTATTCTCGGTAGCCTCGAATATCAATCGGCAGCGTTTTCTGACCATGTTCAGTAAGTGTTAAGGGCCCCTTTAAATTTGAAGGGGGGCTTCGTGGCAAATCGAATTTCCCTTGATTAGATGCTTTCACGGCTTAGCATTCCTACAGCGCAAAGAAACCACCTCTACAAACAGTGACATGTGGATTATTGTAATTATTCGTTCATTGCGAATACTTCGAAAATATTAGATAATTTAAATTCGAATACTCAGCTATTCATTCAAATAGTCGAAGCATTCGAATATTTGCACAAGTCTAGTAATTATTTCTGTAGTAAGTTGCACAGTTTTGAGATGACATGCCATGATAGTTTGTTATGGACCAACTTTTTATGCCATTAGACTTTTAAGGTTCGGAGCCATCAATAACTCATATTGCTCCTCATTAACTGTAGAATGCAAAAGAAAGTGTATGTATGAAATAGGACATTTTAGTAGACGAAAAAAGAAAAATTTTACTAATGTGAAAATTCTTGGAATCCTCAGCCCATACTGATGCTTGCTTTAGCTTCGTAATAATTACACAGGTAATATCTAGTTTTAAGAGATCCTGCACCCTTCACATGTTAAGCAATATCAGGGGAATAATTCTAATCTCGCTATCAGAAGTACCAAAAAAAACAGGATGTTAATCTCAAAGTGTTGCCCAAAAATTGATCTTGAAGAAAAGGCCTTTTAAAAGAATAGGTAAAAGCTCGCGGCAAAGATATTGCCGACAGCACATAATGGGTCGACAGCAAGAGCGGCTCTCAATCTGGAGGAAAAAGAAGATTGCGCGCTTCTTCTCTACTCGAGAGCCAGCCACGACTGACGCATCGTCCTAGAGCTAGCTACCCGGTGGTTTAATAAATCCCCCCAGTACTTGTGACTCATTGTGACAAACTGGTGGAAGTGCTGGGTAGTCTCACGGATGCTGCAAACCCCCCCAGGAAGCCGGGATACGAGTCCAGTGCCAGTCAATACTCCCGTGCATCGGAAAAGCCGCCGAATCAGGGGATTGCCTCCGGAAGTCCACGATACTGCTCCCACCACGTCAACAAACATGAGCAGCACTTCGGTACAAACCTTGCCAACCGGCACGGGAAGCCCTTCGTCGAGCCGCTATACGTTGGAAAGCCCATGGGCACCGGCGACGTTCCATGGCACAGAGCACGAGGACGTTGAGGACTTGTTGACGGACTTCGAGCGCGTAGCCACCTTGAATCAGTGGGACAACGCGGCCAAACTCGGTCGTGTCTATTTCTATCTCGAAGACGGGGCACGTACGTGGTATCAAAACCGAGAGGAGCAGCTGACGACGTGGCCCGAATTCTCTCGTAGACTTCTGCAGACCTATCTATGCCAGTGATGATCGCCAAGAACGAGCTGAACGAGCTATTCTGGCCCGCGTCCAGTTGCCAAACGAAACTGTGACCACGTACGTCGAAGACATGACGCGCCTCTTCCGACGGGCCGATTCAAGAATGACGGAGGACAAGAAGTTGCGTCACTTGATGCACGGTGTCAAGGACCAGCTTTTTGCCGGCCTCGTGCGCAGACCTCCAAAGATTGTCGCGGAGTTCTTGTCCGAGGCCGTGACAATGAAAAAAATTCTGCAGCAGCGATCCAACCAATACGACAGGAAGTCAGTGGCATGTCTACTGCCGACATTTCCACCGCCACTAGAACCAGCAACGACTGTCTACGTGTACTCATCCCTGATATAGTACGTGAAGAGTTGCAAAAAGCTGGTGTAACACCTCATCCTACGGTTAGCTCTATTGCAACTGTGATCAAAAATGAGCTGCACCAGGCCCCCCGGAAAACCTTGCCTCCTGATACAGCTGCGACAGCTCATGCTAAATACCGCCGTGAGACAACCTACGCGGAAGCCTTGAAAAGCCCTGCTGCATCGCCGCCATTATTCGTCCATCCTATTCCTGCTGTTTCACTCCAGTCAGCGCAGC